TATGAATCCGAGAGTGGGGAGAAAAGAAGAAAAAACACAAACAAACAAATAAAATAAAAATGAAATATAAATAAAACAAAAATACAACTGCCTCGATATATAAACATGAAAGGCTCGCTTTTGTAAATATGTCTCTTGAGGTTGGAATAATGACTGTACATGTGATATGAATCTGAGCGTATTGGGGGGGCGGGGACAAAAAACTAATAAAAAAATAAATTAATTAAATGATAAAATTAAATACAAATAAACTAAATTATCTGTTATTCCCCACAAATCTAACAAATATGTAGATAAAAATCCTATGACCATAATAAAAGAATTCAAGGATTTTTATTTCCAACTAGCTACTTTATACATTTTGATCTGACACATAACTGAATGTTTTATTGTTGTTATTAATTTTAATTATTTTATTTTAAATTTTATTTAATTATTTTATTTTTATAACCACTGTATACCCATTTGTATTATATCTGATAAACTAAAGCCATCCTTCCACAAATCAAAGCAGAGGAACAAACAAATATACACTTTTCTCGTTACCAAGGATGCCTAAAAGCAGAACTAAATGATAAAATAAGGTTTAAATGCAGCTGATTATATGCAGCAGCAAAATACTATAAACTATAAAGAGTAACCCTTATGCCAGTTCTAAAAGGAAGTACAAATTAACAAAAAAAAACAACACAATTTACATGCATCTTTGACCTTAATCATTCTGAACATATTAATATGATGGAATTTTCCTTATTGATTTTTTTTTATTTTTTGATTTTACCTCTTGAATTTTGCACTGCACTGCATTGTGTTGTAGAGTCAATAGAAATGTCCATACATTTAATAAATAATTTCCTGGTAGAAAATTACCAGTACATATACTGTACAGTACAAGTGTATTACAACATATCTAAAACAGCTTCTTATGAAACCTTAAAAGATTTGAGTGCATTCACAACACATATTATCTCCAGTCTTGCACAAGAGAGCATGACGTACTGCACCTGGCAACCCTTTTGAAAATATCTCAAAATAACCTCCTGTTGGATGAAGGACAAAGGAGAAAAATATCATTTAGTTTCACTCGCCTCCAGGCATGTTTAAAATAACCCGTGCTTCAATCAATAATTCCAATAACAAAGTGAGATTCTTTGTTTTCCTGGAATTCATTTCTGTATTCATAAAAAAAATGTTTCTAGTATAACTTGTTTCATACAGCGAGTGTAATGTGTGTCTCTGTAAATATTAAACTCCATGCAAACATCTTGATCTTAGTCATAACTCAAAATGTGTGGCATTAAACATCTGTGACAGTTTAAAACACATCAACACAGCAGTCTGGTCGTCAATAACAGAGAATTAGTGTTATGCGCTACACTGCAACAGCTGGAAATGCACTGGTTAAATGTATTGTTTTTCAATAAACCACATTAATATGCTTCTTCAAGAACACTGTATTCTTGGGTAAACCATCTGTGCTTTCCTCAATAAACTTCAGCTGTTCCAGGAATACCTCAGTAATAACTGAGGCAATGTCGTGCATGCAAATCCGTTGCCACATCATCATTTTCTTTCGTCCAAACCCATTTCATTACATCAATATAGCCTGAAACAACTCGGCAATATAGCAAATCCATAATAAGATAGAAATATTGCGTGATATCATAAAAGTGATAAAAATGTCACTGCATATTTGATTTTGGGCGGCCTTTTACCTGAACTGCCTTTCTAAATGCCATATTGCAGCTTGAGGTGGTTGAATTTATGATTGAAGTATGTTTGGCCGGTGTGTGTAAAGACATTTTTGGAGAGCCACTAAATATTGGGTGAGACTGACATTGAGCGTCATTCTTGATTAAACACTGCCCCCTGCAGGTGTATGACTTTCACATGATTTTATGAAAATAATTATATGTGCATTACATACCATATCAGTCAAGAAAGAAAGAAAGAAAGAAAGAAAGAAGCTGGTTATTTTAGCAATGTTTGACAGCATTAAAGGAGAAGTTCACCCAAAAAAAAAAAAAAAATGCTGAAAATTTACTCACACTAGGCCATCCAAAATATAGATGATTTAATTTCTTCATCAGGATAGATTTGGAGAAATTTAGCATTCAGTAATTTACTCACCAATCACTCTGCAGTGAATGGGTGCCGTCAGAACAAGAGTCAAACATCTGATAAAAACATCACAATAATCCACAAGAAATCAGCACAATTCCAGTCCATTTATTAATGTCTTGTGAAGTGAAAAGTTGAAGAAGAAACATCCATTATTAAGGCATTTTATCTTTAAACCTTCATTTCTGCCCCCTCCCCCCCCCAAAAAAGTCCACAATGCGTCTTCTAGTGAAAAAGTCCTCTGTTGTCCTCTCACATCAAAATCCAAAAACATATTTTTAGAACTGTTTTGTAATGTTTTCACTTGTAAATGATTGATTTTCACTGGAGAATGCAATATGTGACCCTGGACCACAAAACCAGTCTTAAGTCGCTGGGGTA